ACCAACCTCAATGATGCGTGTCCAAAGGACCCTCATCCCTTGCCAAACGTTGAGAAGTTGGTGGAGCGGGCAGCTGGGCATGAACGGATGAGTTTTCTTGACGCCAGCTCGGGCTATCACCAGGTTCAGCTGCTGTTGGATGACCAGGATAAAACAGCTTTTTACGCGGGAGACGCTATCTACTGTTATGTCATGATGCCATTTGGCCTCAAAAATGCTAGAGCAACATACCAGAAACTGGTGCAAATCGTCTTTAAGCTCCAGATCGGCAGGAACATAGAAGTATATGTAGATGACATGATAGTCACCAGCGTGCGAGCTGAGGATCACATTGGCGACCTGGATGAAACTTTTCAGAATCTGCGCCGAGCACAAATGAAGCTGAATCCCTTGAAATGTACATTTGCTGTAGAGTCGGGAAAATTCTTAGGATACGTAGTATCCAAGAAAGGAATTGAGGTAAATCCGGAAAAGGTTGAGGCCGTTCAGCAGATGGAGCCACCAAGAACTGTCAAAGACGTGCAGCATTTGACGGGCCGTGTTGCTGCGCTGCACAGGTTTGTAGCCAGATCGGCAAAAAGATGCCTTCCGTTTTTCAAAGCTCTCCGGGAGCCTAAGAACTTCCAGTGGACTAATGAATGTCAACAAGCATTTGACGAGCTCAAACGATATTTGGCATCCGCACCCCTGCTGTCCAAGCCTGTCGAGGGAGAGTGTTTGTATCTTTATCTGGGGGTAACAGAGGAAGCAGTGAGTTCAGTACTACTGAGGGAAGAAAATAAACATCAGAAGCCTATCTGCTACGTGAGTAAGGTGTTACAAGGCGCCGAGCAGAACTACCCACTAGCAGAAAAAGCTGCTTTTGCCCTGGTTTCCACAGCTCGTAAGTTGAGAACCTACTTCCAATCACACCAGATTGTGGTGTATACTGATTTCCCGCTAAGGAAAATACTGCAGAAGCCAGAGCTCTCTGGTCGGCTCATCGGATGGAGTGTCGAACTGAGTGAATATGACCTTAAGTTTCAGCCGCGCACGACTATAAAAGGCCAAGCTGTGGCAGACTTCCTAGTTGAATGTGCCCCGGTGGCTGCGAAAGAAAAGGCACCTGAACACCCACTTTGGGTTTTGTATGTGGATGGAGCTACTAATGTTGAAGGATCTGGTGCTGGAGCTGTATTGCTGAGCCCTGATGGTTTCAAATCTGAGCATGCGCTGAGGTTTAAGTTTCAGACGACCAATAATGCTGCAGAATATGAAGCCCTCATATATGGATTGAAGCTGGCGGCCGAGCTGAAGGTACAAAGCATTCAGGTTTTTAGCGACTCTCAGCTCGTCGTCCTCCAGGTGAATGGCAGTTGCGACATAAGGGATCCCCAGCTCGGTCGCTATGCTTCTGTGGTCAACAGATTGAAGTCCAGGTTCGCTTCATTTCAGATCGACAAAATACCGCGAGCAGATAACCAGCGAGCTGACGAGCTGTCAAAGTTGGCTTCCTCGCAGGACATTAACCCTCAAAGATCAACAATCGTCGAGGTGCTTGACGCACCGAGCTACACTGATTTCACAGTCGAGTGCCAATTATTGAGTACAGACCCCTCTACACCGACCTGGACCACCCCGCTTATGAATTATCTACAAAGTGGCGAGCTACCCCAAGACCAGTCCGCCGCAAAGGTGATTAAACGCAGGGCGGCACATTTCACTGTGTTAGATAACCAGCTCTACAAGCGAGCAGCCTCGATGCCCCTATTACGCTGCCTTACTCCTTACGAGGCTGAATACGCCGTTAGAGAAGTTCACGAGGGAGTATGTGGCACGCACATCGGTGGCAGAACTTTGGCTCGAAAACTACTGAGGCATGGTTATTACTGGCCCACTATGGTCGAAGACGCACAGGACTATGTCAAAAAGTGCCCGACCTGCCAGTTCAATGCTGATGATATTCACATGCCAGGTATCCGAGCTCGTTCTACAGTTTATTCTAACCTAGTAACTGCCTATGAACTGAGCATAAGTACCTTTCTTCGAACAGGGGAAATGCTATCATCTCTTACGTCTCCCTGGCCTTTTGCTCAATGGGGCGTCGACCTGCTCGGCCCCTTCGTCAAAGGCAAAGAAGGCTGCACTTTCCTGGTCATTGCGGTGGATTACTTCACCAAGTGGATAGAAGCTAAACCATTATCCACGACAACAGAAAGGAAAATCGAAGAATTCTTGTTCAATTCCATATTGTGCAGGTATTCTTTAGTGACTTAGATCACAAATAAAATATACGCAAACACAGTCTGTGGCTTAGCTCGTTCATCTGTGTGCAGGTTCGGCATACCTAAGCGGATTATCGCCGATAATGGGCCACAGTTCCGAGCCGCAGCATTGAGATCGTTTTGCAATGACTATGGCATCGAGCTCACATTGACATCCGTGTATACTCCACAGTCCAACGGGCAAGCTGAGTCCGCCAATAAAATCGTCTTATGAGGCCTCAAGACACGCGTTTTGGCTGCGCATTCTAATTGGGTTGACGAGCTCAACAAAGTGCTTTGGTCTTGTCGCACCACACCAAACTCAGCCACGGGCGAAACCCCTTTCAGCCTGGCCTATGGAGCTGAAGCCGTCATCCCAGTAGAGGTTGGATTGCCATCTGATCGAGCAGGCCGGCATGACGATCTCAACAATGAGCAACTTTTGAGAGAAAACCTGGACTTCATAGAAGAGGTCAGGGAGATGTCCAGAATAAGAAACGTGGCACATCAAAATCGTGTTGCAAAATTTTACAATAAAAGGGTTCGAGCTCGCCAGTTTCAAGTTGGCGATCTGGTTCTACGCAAGGCTGGGTTAACTAACACTTAGTCACACTTGGGTAAGCTCGCTCCTAATTGGGAAGGTCCCTATATGGTGGTTCGGGTTAAGCGACCTGGTTCTTACGTGTTAGCAGATATACACGGGCATCAGTTACCTTACCTTTGGAATGTACAGAATCTTAGGAAGTTTTACAGTTAATGT